GCAAGCACGTAGGAAGTGACCAGCAGATGGAAGACCTCTCTTCCTATCTCTCCCTGTCTCTCCCTGTCTCTCCCTGTCTCTCCCTGTCTCTCTGTCTCCTTGCCTCTCCCTGACTCTCCCTCTCTCCCTGTCTCTCCCTGTCTCTCCCTGACTCTCCCTGTCTCTCCCTGTCTCTCTCTCCTTGTCTCTCCCTGTCTCTCCCTGTCTCTCTGTCTCTCCCTGTCTCTCTGTCTCTCTGTCTCTCCCTGTCTCTCTGTCTCCCTGTCTCTCCCTGTCTCTCCCAGTCTCTCTCCCTGTCTCTCCCTGCCTCTCCCTGTCTCTCTCCCTGTCTCTCCCTGTCTCTCTCCTTGTCTCTCCCTGTCTCTCCCTGTCTCTCTGTCTCTCCCTGTTTCTCTCTGTCTCTCCCTGTCTCTCTCTCTCCTTGTCTCTCCCTGTCTCTCTGTCTCTCCCTGTCTCTCTGTCTCCCTGTCTCTCCCTGTCTCTTTCCCTGTTTCTCCCTGTCTCTCCCTGTCTCTCTCTCTCCCTGTCTCTCCCTGTCTCTCTCCTTGTCTCTCCCTGTCTCTCCCTGTCTCTCTGTCTCTCCCTGTTTCTCTGTCTCTCCCTGTCTCTCCCTGTCTCTCTCTCCCCGTCTCTCCCTGTCTCTCCCTCTCTCTCCCTGTCTCTCCCTGTCTCTCTCTCTCCCTGTCTCTCTCCCTGTCTCTCCCTGTCTCTCTCCTTGTCTCTCCCTGTCTCTCCCTGTCTCTCTGTCTCTCCCTGTCTCTCTCTCCCCGTCTCTCCCTGTCTCTCCCTCTCTCTCCCTGTCTCTCCCTGTCTCTCTCTGTCTCTCCCTGTCTCTCTCTGTCTCTCCCTATCTCTCCCTGTCTCTCTGTCTCTCCCTGTCTCTCTCTCCCCGTCTCTCCCTGTCTCTCCCTCTCTCTCCCTGTCTCTCCCTGTCTCTCTCTGTCTCTCCCTCTCTCTCTCTGTCTCTCCCTATCTCTCCCTGTCTTTCCCTGTCTCTCTCTGTCTCTCCCTGTCTCTCTCTCTCTCTCTCTCTCTCCTTATCTATCTGTAGCTCTTTCAAATAAATAAGTAAATAAATCTCTAAAAAAAAAAATAAATAAACACTGCACAGGAGCAGGCGGCAGTGTCCGCAGAACAGTGGGGTGACTGCCGTTCACCGGACAAGGACATAGGAGAGGGAAGCTGCAGCCCCGACACACGAGAGAGGGAAACAGAAAGGCCGGTTGCCCAATCTGACTGCTGTGTGAGTACATTTAAATGAGTACATGTTTAGATGTGTCCCGTAAGAATGTGCAAACATTGCATGTCAATCAAACTTGTTTTAAAATTTAAAAATTAATAAATTTAAATTTAAAACTTTTTTAATAAGAAGGGATTAGAGCTGGATCCAAATACAAGCCCGGCTCCCCTGCTCACCCCCAGACTCCCCCCAAGGGCGCAGCTGGCACCGCCCAGTGGAGACAGTGAGGACTCCTTGGGGAGATGGTGCTGTCAGGGCTGGGGCAGGGGCAGGGACAGCCTGGGGACCAGCAGCTGCGGGGGCCTGAGGAAGGGCACCAGAGCTGACAGAGAGGGGCCCAGGCCAACGTGGGACGATCGGAGCCACGAAAGAGCACCCATCACAGACTGTCACTCCCTGATCCGTGTCCGCTAACTCCAGCACCCAGGAAGGTAACTGCATCTGGAGACACCCAAGGTGAGGCCACGGCGTGCTTCCTAAGGCCGTGGGCTGCTGTCCCAGAAGCAGAGGACATCTGGACACAGACACACACAGAGGGGTGAGCACGTGGAGACACAGGGAGAGCCAGCACGTGCCCACCGAGGGCGAGGCCTCAGAAGGACCCAGCCCTGCCCACACCGTGGCCTCAGACTTCAGCTTCCAAGCGGCGAGCCCGTGGAAGTTTGTGGCTGAAGGCCCAGTCTGGGGCTTCACTCTGGCTGCCCCAGCAAACAGTACGTGGTTACCTGGACAGGGCCAGGGAATGTTCCCTGCACAGGAGAAGCTTGCAAGCAAGCATCAGCAGTGAGACGTGGAAGAACGGTGAGAAACAAGCCACTCAGGCCGGTTGAAGACACTGTGCTCACTGGACTGTGGGCCTGGCCTGGCACTCAAGACGTTCGCCAAGTCCCAGCTCCACTCCCAAGTGCAACTTCCTACTGATGCATGTCCAGGCTCAGCAGGCAATGGCTCCCTGCCAATCATGCGGAGACCAGGAAGGAGTTCCTGGCTCCCAGCCCTGGCCCGGGCCAGCCCAGGCCATTGCAGGCATTTGGGCAGTGGATTAAATGAATGAGAAGACGTCTTAATGCACTCTTCTCATTCACTTCAAAAGGGAACCATCAGTGCAGTGCAGAAGTGCGGCAGGACCGTGGGCAGATGATAAAGTCCCCTGCTGCAGTGTTCCTGCCAAACACGTCACCAGGAGTGAGCACTGGGACACTGGGCTCCGCGGCCTCCTGGGCACAAGGACTCTGTCGCAGGGCCCCTTCTCTGCCACCCGCTGCTGTCCGTCTGACACAGGCTCAGTGAGCCAGTGCTGCACAGGACAGGACCGGCTGAGGGGTGAGGTGAGGAGCCTGCATCTCATTGGGGTGTTTGGCCTTTAGGTTGTGGGGGGCTTGCCCCTCATGAGAGGGTGGGGAAGCCCAGCCCCCCTGCTCCCCGTCTCTCTCCCTGACGAGCCCTGGGGTCATCCTCGGCTCAGCTCCAGCAGACGCCAGACTAATGGGGCCACTGAGCTTGGACCACGAGCCTCCAAACCGTGAGCCGAAATCACCCTTCGTCCTCCCACGTGGCTCCTCTCGGGTGTGAAGTGAGAGCAGTCAGGCAGTCGCCACTGGGGCCCTGGCAGCCACGAACCAGGCCCCCAGCTGCTCTGCAGCTCTGCCCTCCCTCCCTCCCACCAAGTGCCCTGGAAGCAGAGTGCAAAGGGGCAGGGTCCCCCTAAAGCCCAGCTCCCAGACCCCACCCCAGCACTCGGCCTCCACTGGTCTGAGTGGGGCTGGAGCATTGAGCTGCTCCCGAGGACTCTGGTCTGGGGACCCCACCTGGAGCACCTGCGGCCTAAGGGGCACTGACAGCTCATCACGGAGACCCACTGACCGGCATGGAGCTGCCACACCGCAGAGGACAGAGGAGGGGTCGGGGGCTGCAGGAGGCACAGGGCTTCTTCCCACCCCACACCTGCTTCTGCCTCCCCAGCTCTCAGGACCTCCCCTGAGGGGCCGTCTTTATGTCAGCACGGCCTGGCCTGGCTTTGCAGTCCAACCAAGCAAAGCTCAGCACCCAGAGGCCACGGCCAGGACACTCTAACTTGCCTAAACAGCACCCAGCGGGGCCCGACGGGAGGGGTCCCGAGGCTTCTGGCCAGGCACACGGGGTGCCGGTCTCCCCCACCCCGGGGAGGCTCTTCATCCCCCAGACTTCAGTGGAAGAAATGAGCTTCATGCAGCCCTGGGTGCAGCCTGCGTTTGAGCCCCGAGACCAAGCCCCCCAGCACAGAGACACAGAAGCCCTGGTATTACAGTTGTGCAGTAGCCTTCACACAGACCACGCACGTGCACACACATGTGTCCTATCAGTCTTCAATGCGTGCACACACATGTGCATCCGATCAGGCTTCAGCATGTGCACACACGTGCGTCCTATCAGTCTTCAGCATGTGCACACGTGTGCATCCTCAGTCTTCAGCATGTGCACACACGTGCGTCCTATTAGTCTTCAGCATGTGCACACATGTGCATCTGATCAGTCTTCAGCATGTGCACACGTGTGCATCCTCAGTCTTCAGCATGTGCACACACGTGCATCCTATCAGTCTTCAGCGCATGCACACACATGTGTCCTCAGGCTTCAGTGTGTGCATCCTATCAGTCTTCAGCTCGTGCCCATGCATGCGTCCTCAGGCTTCAGCGTGTGCACACGTGTGCATCCTATCAGTCTTCAGCACATGCACACACATGTGCCCTCAGTCTTCAGTGTGTGCACATGTGTGCATCCTATCAGTCTCAGGCTTCCCCTGCCCAGTCTGTCCCCAGCACAAATCACCAAGGTCAGCAAGCACACTGGCCTGGGTACCTCTTGCACACATCTCCCGAGGACCCTGGGCTGGTGCTTGCTCCTTATGGGCGGTGCTGTGAGGGGGGTGGATCCAGTGGGACGTCCATAGGTCAGGGATCCTAGGACCCTGGTGCCTCCCAGGCTTCCTCTTGGAGATGTGACCTCTCCTCCCACATGTGCTCCTGCCATGGTGACACTGTCCACCCTGAGGTCCTGACAGGGCCAGCACCATGACCTTGAGCCTCCAGGACTGTGAGTGAAGTAAACCTCTCTGCACGTAACTGCGTGCTCCACGTAAGAAGACGGATGGATGCGGCAAAGGCACACAGCCCCGTGGACAGAGACCTGTCCGTCACAGAGCCACTGACAGGCCCTGCAGCCACTGTCACTAACTCCTGGTGTCTCCTCCCCCAGCAGTGGCAATGGATCTGACACGTCCTGGCCCAGACAGGACAGTTCACTGCTCTAAACTCAACCTTGCCAAACCCTTCCAGGTCAGCTTCAAGCCGTGGTCTGCTCAGCTGAGCATCGCTGAGGCATCCGTGGCTGCTGCTTGCTCCCTACAGGCCCAGGCAGGAGAGAGCCACAGCCCTGAGGCCTCTGCCTGCACCGAGCCCCCAAGCCCCCAAGGAGAAGGGCCCACAGCCTGTGACACGTGTTTCACATACCTCACGTCGGCCAGAAGCCACAAGACCCTCGTGGGAGCAGTTCACAGACCAGGACACTGAGGCCCAGGGTCTCCCAACAAGGAAAGGGAGGGTTGGGATTCCAACTCTGCAGTCCCTCTGTGTGCCCCTCTGCCCACGTGCCCTCTCCTGCCCTGCTGAGTGGGGCCGGGGGTTCTCCTGTGGCCGCCAGGGAGGAGGAGACGCTGTCCTGGCCTACGGGAAGCGGGGCCCTGGTCACCGGGGGCGGGAGCCGCTCCTGCTCTCCACCTCACCTGGGAAGGGCTCCTTGAGGAAGTGGCCGCTGATGGTCTGGTTGGCGGTGCCCAGCAGGTTCTTGGCGATGAGCGTGTAGTTGCCGTTGTTGTAGTGCGTGGGCTTGTTGAAGAGCAGGCAGCCCTCGGAGACCTCGCCCTCCTGGTAGTAGTCCACGTGGATGATCTTGGACTCGCGCAGCGGCTGCCCATTGTGCAGCCAGTGCAGCGTGGGCGGGGGGTTGCCGCGCACCACGAACTCGATGCAGTGCTCCAGGCGCAGCTCGGGCTCCTCCAGGCTCACCACGCGCGGGGGGTCTGGGGGCAGAAGCAGCTGAGGCCCCAGCGCCGCCTGCCAGGAGCCCCACCCTCCCACCCGGCTCTGAAGGGGCCAAGGTACCCCCAGCCCCCACAAGGGGAAGAGGCTCCTCCTCCCAGCTTCCTGGACCCGCCTTAGCCGAAGGGGCCCCTCTCAGGCAGGAAGGGCCAGTCCATCAGTGTCCCGAGGACGTCGTGGGAGTCAGAGGCCCAGGAACACCCCTCTGGGGGTTCTGCCCATCGTGAGCCAGGCCGCTGCTGCGCTCAGCCCCGGCAACACTGCTGCCCTCCAGCCCCCACGCCCAGCCCCTGCCCCGAGCCACGCCGGCCAGCGAGCACTCACAGTGCACAGAGAGGGCGACGCTGGCGTTGCTCATGCCCACCACGTTCTCGGCGATGCAGGTCAGCGTGAAGCCATTGTCCTCGCTGGTCACGTTCACCAGCGTCAAGTTAATGGCGTGCACGTTGGTCCAGTTCAGGTTTGTCTGAAACCCCAGTGGACACTCAGTCAGGGCTGCCCCCACCCACCCCAGCACCTGTAGGGATCAAAAGGAACAGCCAGAGGTCTTCCCGGAACTGCACACAGACCAGGCCGGGTTCCTCCTGGGCGGTGGCGGAGGCGGTGCTCCGGTAGCCCTGGAAGGGAGGGGCTCACCATGGACGCTCTGGCTGGGGAAGGCTGAGGAGACTGCCTGAGGTCAGAGCAGCTGGACACAGTGCTGCACACTCTGTGGCGACCCCAACGGCTCCCTCCATGCAGACTAAGCCCCTGCCGGGCCGAGTCCACGTGCCCACCTGGTGGGTGTTGATGGACTGGAGGCCGGTGACGATCCAGTCCACGTCAGGCAGGGGCGATCCAGAGCCGTTGCAGGTCACGACAGCATTGTCCCCCTCCCGGACTGTCAGGTTGACGTGGCTCACACTGATCTCAGGAAGGTCTGGGCGCGGGAGGGGCCGGGGCAGGTGGGAAGACAAAGGGCATTGTGTCGGCACAGCTCGGGCCGGCGGCTCCAGTGCCACCGCCCGAGCTCCTGGGAACCCGCAGTCCCTCCCCAGCAGCGTCAGGGGTCAGAACGAAGCCCACACAGCCGGCCCCCTGTCCATGCAGGGTAGGGCAGGGCAGCTGTCCTGCCCAGCCTCTCTCCCTGGGCTCCCGTTCTCAGGAGCTTCAGGTGCCACGGGGCGCTCCCTAGAGACAGATTCCAGGGTCCAGCCTCAGGCTCCAGTCTCGAACGTCTGCCCCCGGGCCCGGGCCTGAGCTGCCCGGAACGCAGCCGAGGGACTCCCGGCGCAGGAACCCAGAGCCCACGCGGCCAGCCTGCCCGCTGCAGCCCCACGGCCGGCGGCGGCACCCACTCACCACACTGGCTGATGTTCATGCGGAACAGCGGCAGCTGCGTGCCGTCGGCACCCACGCAGTACAGGTCCTGGCTGTTGAGCCGCGCCTCGCCCTGCTCCTGCCACAGCTGCATCCAGCGGATGTCACAGCTGCAGTTGAAGAAGTTCCGCTCCAGCCTCCTGTGGGCGGAGGGGAAGGGACCCTGAACCAAGAGGCCGCTCCCTCCAGGGCTGGGCGGCCCCGGCTGCCTGTTCTCCTCAGGGTTACGGGAGAGGAGCTGCAGATCGCAGAAGGAGCCCAAGGGGGCCTGTAAGTCCATGAACTCTTCAGCTCCAAAACTAACAAACCCAGTTAAAAACCAATCCTAAATCGGTATAAAGGGACATACGACACTTGGATAACTTAAATAGATAAATTAAATAAAAGACCCACCCACAGAACTCAGCTGGCAAAGAGATCTTTTCAAACGCAACAGCCATGGTCCACCTCTGTGGCTTCCTCTCTCCAAGAAGCCGGAGTGAAGGCCTGTGGAGCCCACACGCCCCCATCGCCTTCCTGCCCTCAGCCCTGCACCCTGGCCTGCCCCCTGCACCCTGGCCCTGCCCCCTGCAGCCACACTGACCCCCACGGCCACCCAGCCACGCCCCTGCAGCCACACTGACCCCACTTCCAATCCAGCTCTCTGCTATGGCCTGGGAAAGCACCCGCGTAGGAGACCTGGAAGAAGCTCCTGGCTCCTGGCTTCAGATCGGCACAGCTCTGGGTGTTGCAGCCACTTGGAGAGTGAACCAAGTGAACCAAGACCTCTCTCTCTGTCTCTCCCTCTCACTGTCTATAACTCTACCTCTCAAATAAATAAATAAAATCATTTTTAAAAGATTTTTTTAATTTGTTTAGCTGTACCCCAAAGATCCTGTGAGGTCAGAGACACTGCCTATTTTGCCCATTTTGTCCTTTAACTGAGCCCAGCACACAACCGTTGCTGAATGAAAGAGAAAGAAAGGAGAGAGCTTCTCCCTGGGGCGTGGGTGGGTGGCTGTTTCCAGACACACTGGACGCCCACCCTGGGACCAGCTGGACTCCTTCAGAACTCACCACATCCCCACTAAGCACCTGTCGGTGTCCGCCGTGGGCTCGTGCTGTTCAGACAGATGAGACGGGCCCGCCCCAGGGCACCCCGCCTGGCGGGAGCTCTGCGGGGAGAGGCCTAGGCACCCTTTCTGCACTGAGGTCTCCTGGGAGTTGGAGCAAGTCAGCTCCCTCCCAACGGGGCTACTGGGCAGGACGCACAGCCAGGAGCAGTCCAATCGCACAAAGCGACCGGCACCCAGCAAGTCCAGTCCTTGATCACGGGGAGTGCACTTCCCTCAGGACTTGCAGGGTGAGTCCAGCGGCACCGAGGGCGGGGCTGAGACCCAGGGTTTTGACAACTGGCGATTCCAAAGCAGGTGAGCATGCCTTAGCTTTCAGGGAATGAGGACCTGAGGAGAGGAACTGGCGCTTTGTAGCCTGGCCCTCCGTGGGGAACTGGCAGTGGGGCTGGTATGGAAAGGAGACCCGCAGCGCCACACAGAAGAGTGTGGCACCAGGCACCGAGTGGGGGTGGCGAGGGCAGCGGGAATCAAGGGCAGCAAGCACGGGCCTCACTGGGAGCGGAAGACACGGGACACTAGGAACAGGGACGGCAGGCATTGGCCTGGGGCAGCCAAGAAACAGGGCGGCGGAGGGAGAGGGCAGAGGAGGGGATGACAGAGGAGGCAGGAGAAGGGTCGGGCACAGGCAGGAAGGGGTGTGGTGGCCCCCTCAGGAGGGGGTGCAGGAGAAGGGTGCAGGAAGGGGTGTGGTGGCCCCCTCAGGAAGGAGTGCAGGAGAGGGGCACTGCACCTCTGTGGACGCGGGCAGCGGAGCCTCCAGCCAGAGCTCCAGGGACAGCTGCCGCACGGCCCCCACCTCCAGTCACAACGGGGTGGCAGCCGCCAAGGACCAGCACAAGCCAACACCAGTCCTTGCCCACGATGGCCACGCGGGGCCCTGGGGCCCTCAGCAGTAACCCGGCCCCACCCAGGCAGGTCACAGGCACTCGGCAGAGCAGCCACGGCCATGACTGGAGTGGGGAGCGCGGATCCCCCTCCCACTGCTGCTGACTGCTCCTCTCCCTGCCCCACCCCCAACACACACACCTAGAGCAGCCCTGGGGCCACGCAGGGGAAATGGGCGGGGCCTCATCAGCAAGAGCAGCCCTTCTGTCACAGGGCCAAGGACACCCAAAGGGGCCAAACACAGCACAGGAGACAGGGCTGTCGGCCACAGGGACCCAGGTAGACACTGGAGTGACACAGCCACAAGCCACGGGTGCCAGGAGCCACCAGGAGCCGAGAGGCAGGAAGAGTCCTTCCCGGAGCCTCCAGAGGGAGCTCAGCCCTGCCAGCACCACTGCTGGTACCACTGCCAGTACCACTGTTGGCTCCACTGCCAGCACCACTGCTGGTACCACTGCTGGCTCCACCGCCGGTACCACTGCTGGCTCCACCGCCGGTACCACTGCTGGTACCACTGCTGGCTCCACCGCCGGTACCACTGCCGGTACCACTGCTGGCTCCACCGCCGGTACCACTGCCGGCTCCACTGCCGGCTCCACTGCTGGTACCACTGCTGGTACCACTGCCGGCTCCACTGCTGGTACCACTGCTGGTACCACTGCCGGCTCCACTGCCAGCACCACTGCCAGCACCACTGCCGGCACCACTGTCAGTACTGTTGGCTCCACTGCCGGCTCCACTGCCAGTACCACTGTCGGCTCCACTGCCGGCACCACTGCCAGTACCACTGCCGGCTCCACTGCTGGTACCACTGCCGGCACCACTGCCAGTACCACTGCTGGCACCACTGCTGGCACCACTGTCAGCTCCACTGCCGGCACCACTGTTGGTACCACTGCCGGCACCACTGCCAGCTCCACTATCGGTACCACTGCCGGCTCCACTGCCGGCTCCACTGCCGGTACCGCTGTCGGCTCCACTGCCGGCTCCACTGCTGGCACGGGGGTTCAGAATTCTGGGGAGAAGACCTGCATGCTGCCTTAGGCCTCCAAGTTCGTGGAGGCTTAAGGCAGAGCCTGGGCACGAGCAACGAGCCAGGGGATCTCCAGGCTCTGTTTTCACATTTCTCGTCCCCAGGCTGGATAAGGTCGTGACAATACAGGGCTGCAGCTTTATGAATTAAAAGCAGCTACAAAGAAGCCAGAAGTAGTGTGGCAGTAGTGCTGTTGGCACGGCTGCGTGGCGACTTCTCTCAGAGCTCTCAAGGTGGTCACGGCCCAGATGGGCAGAAGCCAAGAGCCGGCCCAACCCCATCCCTGCCGCTGGGTCCATGCATCACCACGTCAATTAGGCCTGCAGATCACGCCAGAAGGAATTATGGTGCTGCCTTAAGAAAACGAACTTCCGATCCACCTTCATCCCAGCTGCGCGTGTGAGCAGGGCGCCCCAGATGTGCCTGGGCCGCTGGCTGTGGGGTACCGCTTCCTGCCTCCTGGCACACCGCCTCGCCCTGGCATGCACTCGGAACCCATGCTTCTTTTCTTCCCGTAACAGGCTTTCCAACGCTTGCTCTGGCTTTCAGAAAGGCAGCTCCAGTCTTCTGCCAGGAAGGAGGCACCATTCTGGTCTCACATAACCAGAAACTGCCAAGCCGAATCCCTCCACCCCTGGCCACCGCGGCACAGCAAGGCCCGGGACTGCCTGGCATCACTGGGCGAGGGGAGTAGCACCTGGACAGGGAGGCTGCAGCTGGGTGCTCGGCTGGCAACAGCCCCAGAGCTGCCCTCCCGAGGCAGAGAAGCTGATGGCAGGGCCGTGGTGACGGGGGCAGCTGGTCCGTGTCCACTCCCCTGAGCGCGGCTACTGGAAGGGACACTGGGCACGCCGAGCGGCACCCAGTGCAGCGGGAACAGCAGACCCGGTGGCTGTGACCCAGACTTGCCGCCTTTCTTGCCACGCGATCTGGACGGTTCCACATGGCCGAACCTTAAAGCCCTCATTTGTAAACCCGGCCACAAGGCCCCTCCGTCATGGGTTCTTTCAGGGACAAGGCAGGCCACGTATGCAGCAGGTGCTCACTACGTGCTTTTTCTTCTCCTTGGACCCCACTGGGAAGGCAGCAGACACTCGGCCCCAAGAAGGAGCTCCGATGATGTCAGGCCTTGCTCAGGGTCCTCCAGCGAACACAGCAGAGACCCCTGTGGCGACAGAACAGCTTCCCTCTGTCCCCGCAGCTCACATGGGGCCCCACACTTCTGCCGTGACCTTGTGCTGCCGCCACAGTGCCGTGCGCTCGCCGCTCCAGGGACAGGACCCCTTCTCCGTGGGTCCAGCCCATGCACAGGCCAGCCCAGGCCCAGGTCAAGGGCACCAGGTGGACTAATCAGGAGGCTGGACAAGAGGCTGCCCGCCCTGTGCTCTCCAGACGAGCTGCTCGGGTCTTCATCACAGCCTCAGCCGAGAGCCAACGTCGGCCCTGCGTCCACTCTCACGTCCAGCTCTTCCTCAGAGAGCAGACCCAGGCGGAGCGGCGGCGCTCACAGTCTCCTGACCCTCCGGGGAGGCTCCTCCTACTCAGCCACAGGGACAGAGGCGCTCAGAGGCCGACTCGGGAGCCACACCCCCTTCCTCCGTATCTCACGTCCGCTCATGGGCTCTGGCCCAGGCAGAGCGACGCAGGACCCCGTGATCCTCTGGAGAAACCTGGACTGCTCAGAACTCACACCCGCGGACGCCTGCTCCGCAGCTCACGCCACAGGTCACGGGGCAGCACCCACGGACCCCACCTCCAAGCACGTCTCAGAGAGGGCACTCAGTGCTTGCTCAGCGTGTCCCCCGGCCTCTCCCGGTGGAGGGGGGACCCACAGGGAGAGCCCGGGCCCCCGCATCTCAGGCAGCTGAGAAGCAACGGCAAGCAGCCACCTTCTGGGCGACTGCTGAATAGACGCCCGGGTCGCAGACGGCTGGCGTGGTGGTCCCAGCTTCGGGTCCACACTGCGCTTGTGAACGGGCGGTCCTGATGCCTTGCTCTGGGTCAAGCCGAGCAGCAGGCACAACACAACGCTGCCCGGCGGGAGCCGCGCGCTCACCTCCCGGGCTGGTGCAGCAACCCACCTCGGGGACGCCTGTGACAGTCTGCCGCGCTCGGGGCACGTTCTCCCTGTCACTAAAATCAGGAGCACTCGTCCGTGTGCACCTGACTCCACGCTGTCTGCGCCCGGGAACCCTGACCACCGCACCTGACGCCCACTCACAGCGGCATTTCCAGAAGTCCCCCAACCCCACCCCTGGAACGGCCTCTGAAGCCACCAGGCTCCTAGGCCGGGGAGGGTAAGGCCAGCACCCCAGCTCGTCCCAGGGCGGGGGCGCCGGGGTGCGGGGTGTCGCGTTGTGCTCCCCGGCCGGCTGGGTCTGCAGGGAAGGTGGTGCTGACTTAGCACGTGTCCAGGTCTTGCAGTGCTGACTCAGCACACGCCCAGGCAGAGCGCAGGTCATGGCTTCCTGGTTGACAGCGAAGCCAGGTGTCTTCTGTGAGTCTGAGTCTGGTCACCAAACCAAAGGGAACACTGGCCCCTAAGCCACCCAGGCCTCGGCCTTTTCCAACTGATTCCCTGGCAATTCCCCGGCAGAAGCAGCCAGCCGCCTGCACGGCCGGGGTCCCGGGGTCCCGGCCTGGGTTACCCTTTCCAGGAGTGGTCACGGGTTTTCGTCGGCCAGCACTTGCAGTATTTGTACAGGATGAGTGGCCGGGGCTCGGGAGGACTGACTGGTCCTGGAACAAGGCACGGCCAAGCAGCCCACACGGAGATGGGATAAACACCCGGCCTCCCCAGAACACCACACCCGGGCCGAGCAGCTGACCGGAGGGCAGGCAGTCCGAGTCTGCAGCGCTGGCCCCACCAGCGCCATGATGCCTTCCTGTGAGATAAGTCAGGCCACGCGGGGGAAAGCACATCTGGCCACCTCCACAGCCCTGTGCCGCTAGTGTTGTTATAAATATCGGTGCCACCATTACTCGTCACCTAGAGATCACAGACTAAGTCCCCGTGAGGAACCAGCTCCTGACCTCTGAAATCCACTGCGTCCAGAAAGAGCACCGGAAACCAAGCAGCAGGGCGCTCATTCCCGCTGAACATGGCGCCGCCCCAGCCCCACTGTGCGCCCCTGCCTGCAGGTGGCTCCGCTGCTCGGCGCTTCTCTCCCCACCCCACCCCGTCCCACCACCAGCACCACTGAGCCACCTGCTCAGTCTTCCAAACACAACTTACAGTTCCCGGAGACTCAGCGTCTGGAAGAGCTGCCAGGAGAGGGTGGTGAGCCGGTTACTTGACAGGTTTCTGCAAGATGGACAGACAAAGGGTTAAAGGCCAGAGTTGGCATCTCGCGCGCTGGGCAGTGGGCTCAGCCTGCAGCCCAGCTTCAATGTCTTTTTCTCCTTCGCCCTCCTCTGTCGATGGCTGGGGACACAAGTGAGGTCTGCAGAGGACCTTGAACCCCGTCTCCTCCCCACACACAAGTCTGAGGAGCCCGCAGGAAGCTGCCCTCCTCCGGATGGACACGGCGCTCACAGCTCCCACACCAGTCACCTGCGGCCGCTTCCAGTCCCTCTCCCCACAGGGCCATCAGCACGGCGACGCCAGCCCTTCACACACCCGTCTGCTCTTCCCATAATGATATTTAATTGCTCTCATTAGGACATACTGGGGACAGCAGCAGCCATTAGTCTTCCGCGTGGAAGAGGCAACGCGCCCACAGCTCTTTGCCAGCCCTTCAAGGCGGCCGCTGACACTGAAGGGCCCCGGGAGCGGCGCACTTGCCTGCGGGTGAGGGGGGATGGCGGTGGGGGACGGCGGTGCCACCCCGCTAGGGCGCTATCACACACGGTGCGCGGCTGTGTCTGCTACACAGAGCTGTTTACTCACGCAGCATACACGCGCCCTATATTTAGACAGCTCCCACAACGAGAATTTATCGAGAGCCAAATATAGGCCACGCTGAGGAACGAGGAGGTGGACCCAGGAGGGAAGAGGAGGTCCCTCCGGAACCTCACAGTCAAACTACAAAGGTATAAACTCACAGAAGAGCGGACACACGGTGCTGCGAGACCTGACACGGGAGGGCAAGGCCACGGCCGACGGTGCTCAGACAGGGCTCCCAGACCCCAGGCCGGAGGAGTTGAGGACAGGGGAGGGGGCTTCCGAGCCATGGAAAGGGGTAGGGGACAGTGCCAGGAGCAAGGCAGAGAGGGCTTCAGGCCAGCTCCAGCCTGCTGGCTGGGGAGAACCCCAGGTTTCATCCTGAAGGGCAGCGGAAAGCCTGGGTGGTGTCCACTGAGGAGGCCACTTTCGGACTGGAAGGGCGCAGGCCCGTCAGGCAGCCTCTCACCCCCGCACAGACGGGAGGCAGCAGGTAGGTGGGCGCAGAGCATTCCAGGCAGAGGGCAGAAGAGGTCGTCAAGCAGGCACATCCAAGGCGGGTGCCGGGCCGCCAGAGCCTCCCAGGAGACACGCAGGAAGGGAGGGCAGGGGTGGAGGCTGCCTGGGGCAAGAGGAGCTGCTGAGGGACCCCACCGAGCAGGAGGGGCAGGGAGGGTCAAGAGCAGCCTGGCACACACAGAACCCGAGCTGCCCATGAGCCCTGCAGAGCCTGAGATCCACGCTGGGCCTGGAACTAGGGGAGGAGCTGAGGCTGGGTCGGTCACATGGGTGGAGCTTGCCCAGGTCAGAACAGGGCAGATCTTTGGATACAGGAAGATCCTTGGATACAGGAAGATCCTTGGATACAGGAAGATCCTTGGATACGGGATCTGCCCTTCCCACTCAACGCGCACCTCGGGTGAGCTCAGGGCTCTGTGGTCTGACTGCCAAGGTCCCCAGATACCCGTGACGGCTCACAGCGGCCCCCTGCTCAGGGGCTCAGGGACTGGCATGGAAGAGAAAGGGGCATCAGGTAGGGGTCTCCCTGGACCCAGCATGTCCTCCACCTGTACTCTCCAGGCAGGCCCCAGGCCCCAGCCAGCCCTTCTCTGCAGAGCTGAGAGCTCCGCTGTGACCACAGATTCAAACTGGGAGGCGCCATGATTCCACGTCCACCAGGGCATCTTGCAGAGCTATGGGCATGATCCGGCCTCTCCAGAGGCCCTGAACAAAGCCCCAGCGGAGAGAGAGCAACACCCAGCCCAGCAGACGTCGGCTGCCAGAGGCCCCCGGCCCACCCAGCCTTGGGGAACACACCCAGAGAGACACAGAAGCTGCTGGCGGGGACCAGGCGGCCAGGAGCCTGGAGCCTCACTCCCTCTCCGAGGAGGGGCAGGCAGGGGCTGGCAGGAGCTCTGGGAGCCGGCAGCTGGGAGTGGCCGCCAGCAAAGTTCTCTCACAAAGGTCGGCTTTGCTACTTTGGGCAGAAATGTCAGGAGAAAATTGGATTCTGAAAGAAAGAAAGAAAATAACAGGCATTCTGGGCAAATAAAGAAAGAAATAGCATCATCTCTCCTTAGCACACGTCAGAGCAGGGTGGGGTTGGACACCCAGGGCGGGCAGCAGGGCTCCTACTCCCAGGGGTACATGGGCTTTACCACCCCCACTTTCCCCATCCTCCAACCCCACCTGGAGAACGGTGCCCTGGATCCCTCCGATGGACGGTGGTGCATATCCATGCAGCAATGCAGTGTGCACAACCGGTGCAGCTGCACACAGCACCCACCAGACACAGAAGTACCCTGCCCAGGGACGCACACAGAAAACACGCAGGCTACGCCCTGGCCACCTGACCTCACAGGCGTTCATTAACTCTCACGGTGCAGGGAAAGTTGGGGCAGAGGCCTTCACCACGATGGACCACTCACCCAGGGTCACTGCCCCGATGGTCCCTCTAGCTGGCACCTCACCTGGGTTCCTGTCAACTCCATGCACAAGCGGCCTACCCTGCCTGGCTGGCACCTTTCATTAAGAACCATCCTGCCTCTGCCCCCGGCAGCCCCCACATTACAGACCTGGGACCGCCAACCCTGACTTTCTCCGGTCAGTGGCCAGTGTCCCAGCCACGGTGAGCAAGATTTTCGGAGATGCTGCATGAAATACGTTCCCCAAGTCAAGCTCTGAGATGCCACCTCCTCTCTGTCCTTGGAGACCTCAAATGCAGCCAATAATTCTGTGCTGCACTACTGGCTCCCTTCATAACCTGACTAGATCCCTCACAGCCTGAATGGATCCCTCACAGGATGACTGACTCTCTCACAGCCTGACTGGATCTCTCACAGGATGACTGGGTCCTTTACAGCCTGACTAGATCTCTCACAGCCTGACTGGATCCCTCACAGAGTGAGTGGGTCCCTCACAGCCTGACTAGGTCCCTCACAGGGTGGCTGGGACTCTCACAGGATGACTGGATCTCTCATACCCTGACTGGACCCCTCACACAGCCTGAGTGGATCCCTCACAGGGTGACTGTATTCCTCACAACATGACTGGATCCCTCACAGGGTGACTGGATCTCTCACAGCATGACTGTATTCCTCACAGCATGACTGGCTCTCTCACAGGGTGACTGGGCCCCTCACAGTGTGACTGGATAACTCACAGGATGATTGGATCTCTCACATCCTGATTGGGTCCCTCACACTCCGACTGGGTCCCTCACAGAGTGAGTGGGTCCCTCACAGCCTGACTGGCTCTCTCACAGGGTGACTGGATCCCTCACAGCATGACTGGATCTCTCACAGTGTGACTGGGTCCCTCACAGGATGACTGGGTCCCCCACAGCCTGACTGGGTTCCTCACAGGATGACTGGGTCCCTCACTGGATGACTGGCTCTCTCACAGGTGACTGGGTCTCTCACAGAGTGACTGGATCTCTCACAGGGTGACTGGATCCCTCATAGCCTGACTGGATCTCTCACAGGATGACGGGTCCCTCATAGGGTGACTGGGACTCTCACAGGATGACTGGATCTCTCACAGCCTGACTGGATCCCTCAGTCTGACTGGATCCCTCACAGGATGACTGGATCTCTCACAGCTGATTGGATCCCTCACAGCCTGACTGGGTTCCTCACAATAGGACTGCATCCCTCACTGTGTGACTGGATGACTCACAGCATGACTGTGTGAGTCCCCTATAGCCTGACTGGCTCCCTCATTCCAAACTGGTCCCTCACACCCAGGTGTCTCCCTCACAGCAGAACTGGGTCCAGAGGTAACAAATGGTGACAATGAAGCCATCAGGTTCTGGGGGCACCAGGAGCCAGACACACTTGGCCAAACGCTGACCCTGATCAGCAACAGGGCCAAGAAGGTGCTCCTGCACATACCCTCTGTAAACCCCTCCCTCTGGCCGGTGGATGCCTCACGTGGTGAGAAGTCCCATGACCTTGCTGCAGGATGGGCCCAACCACAGCAGGAATGGGATCCACCCTTTTGTGGGGAACCCCACTGACCTCCAACCAGGTCATCAGGATGGATACCAAGAGAAACCAACCAGATGAGTTCTACGGCCCTAATCAAGTTGATAACAGAAGGGGACACTCAGTCCCAGGTACGGGTGATCTAAGGTAGAAGCAGAGGCAGGCCCAGGGGCAGGTGCATCTTAGGACCCATGACAGCACAGGTCTGGGGGTGGCAGGTGCCCTCACTCCTGTGCAATCATGGCCACACCACCCATCCCCATACCTGCCAACATCATGGGCCCCTTGGTGGCTCATGCTCACCCCACTCCAGTTGTTGTCTCCATTGAGCCTCTCACTTGAGTTTTATCTGTGGCTGCTGGGGGCTGAGCTATGGCCCCAGAAATCATATGCTGACGCCCTAACTCCCTGGGTGGCTGTATTGGAGATAGGGTCCTTGGAGAAGTAATTAAGGTTAAGAGAAGTCACCAGTGGGCGCTGACCCAGTAAGACAGCTGTCCTATAAGGAGAGGAGACAAAGACACTCACAGAGGGACTGCCAGGCAAGGGCATGGCGAGAAGACAGCACCCCTGAGCAAAGAGGCCTCAGGAGGGGCCAGCCCTGTCCACACCTTGGGCTCAGACTCCCGGCCCCCAGGACGGGGAGAAATCATCTCTCACTCCAACTTCCCCAGCTGCGGTGCTTGCCCCAGTCACCCAGGCACACCAGTGCACCTGCTCTTAGCTCCATTTACCCAGAGGCCTTGTCAGCCAAGCTGGTTGCCTCCCTGTGGAACCCAGAAGCCTCTGATTAATAGAATTTGTCCCCTTCACCCTGTCCCCGCCCAGAAGCTCTGAGAGCAAGGCCTCGCCCCGTGTCCACACCCAGGTGCATTCCCATCGCCCCGCCAGTGGTCACCGAGAGAGAAAACAGAGCAAGGCGCAGCCTCGGCTTGC